ATTAACTTATGAACTATTGTAATTCTAACAGTTTTATATCTAAATTTTGCAGATATTCCTCATGTACAGATACTATAATGCAATGCAAGCTAACAATAAATGATTGCTTTCAAATATCAAAATGCTGAGACAAATACATTACAGAAAGCACATCTACATTATTTATCTCTAAAAGGGGAGCAAGATTGATATACACAACATTAAAATAACCAATTTATAAACACACTTACCAAGATCAGCATGAGTCAGCCTGTCTTTGCGAATGGCTAACAACTTTTTGTCAATGGCTGTCTCAAGTTTGGCCACCACCTCAACCACCTCTGGGCTCTGGTAGAACTTGCAGGCTTTTCTGCGCAGTCTGTTGAGCCTTCGTCTTGCTGTGTAAGCTCTAAGGGACATCACTTCCTTGGTTGGTGCAACTTCTATTCGTGAAGTCCTTGTGGCCTCTGACCACAGCTTGCCCATATCAACTATAAATGAGAGGAATATAAATACTATACTAACTTTAAACTGAGGTGAAGGTGCACTTGACAGGGTGGTAATGACTGATAACAAAGTAACAAGACTAGGTGATAATTATTTGATAACTGACAGGTTGCTGATAACTATTAACTGAATTAAAGCAATGGTCTGACTATTAACAGCATTAAAGCAATGTTCTTTGGATATGTTGCACTTGCACACCACTAAAAAAGAGGAGTATAATTTGATTATAGAACTTTATTTTTTTCACATTTTGTGCACATAAACTTTTATACATTTAGCTTTTTGTTTAATAATTTGCTAAGAGGATCAAAAAGATACCAGATATACAAAACACCTGCACAAGCAAGATCTACTTGACTACCTTATGACTGCCATAAAAGCAACCATTTATGTAAATGTCCTTTTAGGATTTATGGCTGCTCATTACAAACCTTTCTTCACTTTAGATGCCACATCCTCTTCCTCTGGAGGAGTTAGGATGAAGTTCAGCCAATTTGTGAAACCTGCTATTTGCTTCTCCACCCAGCGGTCATCATAGTACATGTTCCTGTTAGGAGTAAAGTATTGAACAAATTCATACAAACTCTCAGCAGATAATTTAAGCAAAATATCTAACAAAATAATTTCAATATGAACAGCACAATGTAGGAGCACTGAAAGAATCTAAAAAAAATACTTTGTTAGATTTGATATAATCATAACACAATCAAAATCTATCCAAAATAGTGTGCAAAGAAATAGCAAAGGAGACTTGACAAGGATGAAGAATAGGACCTGTGTAACCAATTCACACTGCATACTTACTTTGCAGCATATGGATTTGGGTGGTGCACAATGGTTGTTTTGTTTGATTTGATCAGAGTTAGTTTGGACTGTGGACCCTTCACACCACTCTTTGAGACCAGCTTTCTGCGGTTTATTGAAGATGTTGATGACAAAGCTGATGCACTGAGGCCACGTGCCGAGGATGATTTGGACAAAGAGCAGCTGGAGCTGTTAATACTATCTGTTGAGTTACTGAGACCACCGTTTACATCTGTGACAGAAGAATGACGGACTGGAGCAGAGTGAGTGGTAGTACTAGCAAGACAAGAGGTCGAAGCAGACATGGTGGCAAGTTTGGGACGAGATGATGATCTACTTAGACGGGACCCTGAAATGGATTTGGTTTGGCCTGAAAAAGATTTGGAAAAAAGTTAGAAAGACATATCATTTACATCTGATCAGTATGCTCTCTAATTCTAAATACAAGCAAAAATACATACAATTAAATGGACAATTCAGCAATATAAAAATATCACAACTAGCAAAACTTAGTAACTAGGAATAAATTTAGGTGGGGTAAGAGTAGGAGAAAGAATAGAAGTTGGAGGAAGAGTAGATGTTGGAGGAAGTGCAGGAGTAGGAGTAGGAAGAAAATTGGAGTAAAAAACAGAAGAGGAGGAGAATAATACAGAGAACAATAAATGGATGAGCAGGAACCTACCAAGAGTCCTTGAAGGCTGCGATGCAGATGGAGCTCGCACTGTGTTCTCTTTCCCAACTAAAGAGCTTCTTGGTGCTGCCTTTGTTGCCGTAGTGTTTCTAACAACAGGAGGTTTACGTGGACTCTTGCACTTGCTAGATACTACAGACAGTTTCTTTGGACTCTGTTTATCATTTCGTGACTTGAGTGAAGACACTCTAACAGAGACTCCAGGAGCAGGATTCACCCTGCTTCGCTTTGGCACACTTTTCCTTTGCTGTTCTTCTGGTGGCCTCTTAGGACGTGTTGGCGAGATTTCAATAAACAGTCCGTGCTTCTCTCCCTCATCTTTCTTCTGCGAAACATCTGATGATACTTCTTCCTTGTTCACAACAACTCTTACATCTGAATTAGCAAAATATACTTCTTGTTGTAGCTCTACTTTCTCCGGGATAATTTGAGTTCCAGAAGTAAATTCTTCCGAGGACTCACAAACATGAGACTGATATGATTCTGTGATCTTACTTTCATACCTGTGATTCAGTACTTGGGTTTTCCCAAAGGATGAATCCCTTGTCCTAATCATGTGCAGATTGCGTGTCTTATCAAGCTGTAAATCTAGAGCATTTTCCCCAGTTAAATTGTGAGTCATATTTGCAGGTAACTGGAGTGTTTCCCTTGTGGACTTATTTTGGGTTTCATTGACAAACACATCTTGTACCTCCTCCAAACCTTGTGTTTTAATCAAGGGAAGCTCCTGTGTTTTATTCATGGGTAGATCCTGTGTTTTATTCATGGGTAGATCCTGTGTTTTATTCATGGGTAGATCCTGTGTTTTATTCATGGGTAGATCCTGTGTTTTATTCATGGGTAGATCCTGTGTTTTATTCATGGGTAGATCCTGTGTTTTATTCGAAGGTAGATCCTGTGTTTTATTCATGGATAGATCCTTTGTTCTATTCATGGATAGATCTTTTGTTTTATTCATGGATAGATCCTGTGCTTTATTCACAGGTAGATTCTGTGTTTTACTTATGGATAGATCATGTGTCTGGTTAATAGGGAACTCATCAGATTTGCTCAGGTATGGATGGTGATTTCCATCATTCAACAGATCTTGAGTTTTGCTCATAAGCACATCTTGGTTTTTGTCTTTGGGTAGATCATGAGTTCTGTTCAATGACAAGTCTTCGGCTTTGTTTCTAGGTAAATCATGTGTTTTATTAAAGGGTACATCCTCAGAACAGTTTTGAGGTATGTCATGAGTCTTATTCATGGGCATGTCCTGGGTCTTGTTTACTGATAACTCCTGTGTCTTGTTCATGGGAAGTTCATGTGTTCTGCTGAGAGGCACATCACATGTTTTGTTGAGGGGAATGGCTAATGTTGCCTCTTCTACTTCAAGTATTGTGCTGAGACCAAGAGCAGGAGCAGCATCAAAAGTTTCTGAACACTGTACGACTTGTGACACTTCCTCAGCTGCAAGGAAAAGCTGACGGCATTTATCTGATAACCTTCGCTGTTCAGTTAGCTCATCAGGTGGCAAGGGTTTTCTGCCTGTGGAGCATCGCCGAGGATCTATACTGGGATCAAAACTAAAGTCTGCAGCAGAAGCTATAATGAAGTCCTCATCTTGTACCTCCTGTATCAACTCAGGAGCAAATTCAGTTTCCTTTGCAACTCCCTTAAAGAGGAGCAGCTCATCTAGAGCCTCACTTTGATAAGGCTTAACACCATCCAAGAAAGAATCACTCTTACGTAAATTCTGCTTTTTCTTATTACATCTTTGCAATCCTATGTCACTCATCCTGCGAGGATTACTGAATTCTGTTACCTGTGGCAAGGATGATGGTGAAAATGTTGGTAAATCTCTGACTACTGTCTCACAGCTATTATGGTGCTCATCAACTGCTACAATGTCATCAGGATGCAAAATAGATGTCTCCTTTGTAATCGTCTCAGTACTCAATCGGTGATGGGGAATTGGACTCTGACAATCAGAGCTTTCCCTTCCATGTTCTACATACAAATCATGCTGATGCGAAACTGGTAGGTTCTCTGTTAAAACTTTCTCTGGGCTAAATGTCTTCTCAAGACTATCTGTGCTGATGCTTTCTTCCAAACCTTCTTTCCTTTGGCCTTCTAACTCTTGCTTGAGCATAAGTGAAACATCTTCTAGATTCACAGACCTCAGTTTGGACACATGTTCCCCAATCTTTGGTGTTGGAAATTCTACAGAAACATTGAAGTCCTCAATAGTAAGAGCTGGCTCAGGAGGTGTACTTGGTGCCGTTTCATACTCTGATGAAGGGGAGCCAGGAGCTGTGTACATATCTGTATCTGGGGAAAAAGAATTATAGCCAGAACACAGGGAGCCCTTTACTTCAGCTTTAGATGATGGCTTTGGCGTGTCAGGAACCTCTTCAGAGTTCAACTTTTCCAAAAGATTCATACATGAAGCCTTCATGGATGCTAAACTACTAATACCTGTTAGTGGAGCAGGAGTGATTGGAGTCATCTGAAGTCCAGTGACCGAGGAGTCACCCCGAAGAGGAGGAGTTGAACCCATAGTTGGTGTTGAGGTGTCTGAGGCATTTGAATTTTCAAATTGCTTGCAAACATCATTATATGTGTGACAATCTTTATAGCTGTCAAGGTTCTCTATATCATCTCGGTGAAACAGGCTTTGACGTCGTAAGAAGTCCTTGTCTTTCTTGACAAAAGTTTTTCTTCTTAGTGGTGACTCTTCAACATCACACAATGGCAGGTTCCCATTCTCAACACTTTTGAAGTCATTAGTTTCTGTAGTAAGATATGTCTGTCTTCGCAGTGGTGTAGCTAGTCCATTGCAAACAGGCAGACTGTCACCTTCCATTGATCTGAACTTCTCAGGTTTTGATGCAACAAAAGTCTGCCGTCTCATTGGAGATTCTTCAGCATTGCACGGGGGAAGTTGACCAACTATCTTTCTGAATGTTTCATTTGAAAAAGCTGTACTTTCTGTTGTTAAATAATTGATGGAATGGATATCTCCATCTGCACAATCATG